ATAGTGAGGTTTTTATTTGAACCTCTCCCTATATATATATATATATATATAATTTTCTTGTTCTCCTCTTCATATAATAGGTTACTCATTACAATTGCTATCTAGGTGTGAAAAAGGTTTTCTTTTGAAAATGAATATATCAAATACCTTCCAGATCGTTTACTATATTACATTTGCTGCTATTTTTTTTTTACCACACGATGACTTTACTATTACATTAGATTTAAATTTCACCTACTTAGATTCAAATCCAAACCTAGTTTTTTGTAGAAATTTTTACCGATTAACATTTCTTGGTAGACTTGAGATAAAATGTTTTTTTTTTCTGTTGTTATTGTTCTTATATCTCTTCATATTCATGCATCTAGTTGAGTCAGCAGTTATAGTTTCCCCACGTCCTTACCATAAAAAAATCCATTGACTCGTTCTCCTCAGGGGGTTGTGCTTCATCATGGCAACAGGAAAGCTTTTAGCTATCTGCCAGATGGGTGGAGAATTTATCAATAATAGTGATGGATCTGTGTCTTATAATGGTGGCGATGCCCATGCAATTGATATTGATCGTGATATGACATTCCGTGATCTATTATCGGAAATATCTGATGTTTTTAGCTGCAATGCCAGTATCTATACAATCAAATACTTCCTTCCAGGCAACCGTCGGACTCTCATCACAATATCCAACGACAAAGATATACGCCGTATGGTGGATTTCCATGGAGATGCTATTACAACAGATGTTTATCTTTTGAGAAAGAATGAGAATCCACCACCGGTTCCTAACAACAGGTATGTGCCTCGAAGCATCTCTGTTTATATATTTATATTTAATCTGTTAAGGTTTGGATGAGAAAATGAACTTTTGGAAATCTGACAAAACTAACAATTTTCAAACTCCCAAAATTTCCCTTTTTTGGGTTATGTAGATATTAATCCCTAAACCTTCAATATTTCCACATTAGTCCCCCAAATATTTGAAATTGCTCATAAGTCCCTCAAATCCTAAGGGATCTTACAATTAGGTCCCTCATGACCAAAAAGCACACCAGCTATGCTTTTATGAACCAAAGGGATTTGAGGTATCATAGATTGAGGGGTATTTTGGTCATCATGGGACCAAATTGGAAGAACCCTAAGTATTTGAGGGATTTATGAGAAAATTCAAAGATTTGAGGGACTATATGAATCTGTTGAAGATTTAAGGGACTAATATCTAAATAACCCATTTTTTGAGTTGTATGGAAAGTTGAATGTGGGGTTCACTTTCCACTTTGTCCTCAAAATCCTCTAGGCATCAGATTTTACTGTTCTCAGCAAATGACAAGTGCTTTTCCTGACAAAGTATCTGGAAGCAAAGAACATTTTTCGAAGAGGATTTTGGGTCTAATAAAATCCTTAGTGTGAGACCTGCATTTTCCAATAGAATCTTTAGAATTTCATGTAAACATACATCCCCTAATAGCATGAAACTTAACGGATTGTGTGTATTTTTAGGAGAACTAGGAGTATGGTAGCAGCTGATTCGGTTTCTAGAGATCTAATCACTGCCTCAGAAGGCACCTACGAAGATACTAAGCGTCTGCGAATAAGCAATGAATGGGACAGCATGATCACAGGCGTGGGCCAAGTATTTGCCAACACAAGAGTTTTCCGAGATGCACTCCACAAATATGCTATCGCCAAGAGCTTCGCCTACAAATTCATCAAGAACGATGGCCCCCGCATCACCGTCCGTTGTACTGTGAAAGAGTGCCCATGGCGCATTTATGCATCCAAGTCTCCGGATAAACATGAGCTTACAATCAAGAAAATGAACGACGTGCACAATTGTGGAAGAGAGAGTGGTAGAGAAAGGAATCGGTTGGCAACTCAGAGTTGGATTGCTAGTGTTATAAAAGACAAGCTACGTGAAACTCCGAATTATAGACCAAGGGACATTGCAAAAGATCTTGAGGAGGAGTATGGGCTGAGTTTGAGCTACCACCGAGCTTGGAGAGGGAAGTCTATTGCAGAGAAAGAGCTTCATGGTTCACATGAAGAAGCATCAAATCAGTTACCATGGTTTTGTGAGAAGATAGTGGAGACAAACCCCGGAAGTGTGGCTGTATTTGAAGAGACAGAGGATTCAAAATTGGGTCGCCTTTTTATCTCCTTCCAAGCTTCAATGAATGGTTTTGAGCATGGTTGTCGCCCTCTTCTTTTTCTTGATGGCATCTCTCTTAAATCAGTGAGACAATGGAAGCTATTGACTGCTACAGGAGTTGATGGTGAGAATGAGGTTTTTCCTGTAGCATTTGCTGTTGTTGAAAATGAGACTGAGGAGATTTGGCACTGGTTTTTGCTACAGCTGAAATCAGCTTTGCCAATGTCACGAACCGTGACATTCGTATCAAAAAGACAGAATGACTTAGAGGAGACGATAGCTCAAATGTTCCCAGGATCCTTTCACGGATATTGCATAGACAGTCTCATTGAGGAGTTCAAGGCTGAGTTAGAGGATTCATGGACCCAAGAATTAAAAGACACAGCGGTCGAAGATTTCGCCAGCGCTGTCTATGCTTGCAAGGTTGACGAGTTCAATGCTTGTGTTGATAGAATAAAGGCCGAATCAAAAGAACTTGCTGAATGGGTTTTGGGTTCTAAACCTGAGAACTGGTCAAATGCATTCTTTAAAGGAGTAAGGTACGGTAGATACTCATCTGAAGCTGCTGAAACATTCAATTCATGGATATCAATGAGGAATGAGCCATCAATAGTACAAGCAGTTGATATTATTAGATGCAAGATAATGGAGATGATATATACTCGACGTGAAAACTCAAACACATGGATGGAGATACTTACCCCCTCATATAATCACAAAGTTCAAGAAGAGTCAATTCGAGCAAGAGCCTTAGAAGTGATTTGCTCGACCGAGAGTGTTTTTGAGGTTCGAGATGAAGATACAACCAATGTGGTAAATATTGACACATGGGAGTGCACTTGTAGGAGATGGCAAGTTATTGGATTGCCATGTATGCATGCTCTTGCTGTGGTTGAGAGATCTGAAGGTTGTGCTTCTGATTTTTGTGCTAAGTATTTTAGTACGGTTTGTTATCGGGCAGCTTATGCTATGTCCATTAACCCAATAGCAGATCCGGTTAATACTATGGTTGCGTACCCGGTTCGTGCTCGTCGTGGGCCTGGACGACCTAAATTGAAGCCAGCTGAGCCTCTGCTGAAGGCTAAGAGAGCTGTTAGATGTAGCAAGTGCAGGGAATATGGGCATTATAAGCAAACTTGCAAAGCGCTTCTTTAGTGTTTTACAGGGTTTTGTTTGTTGAGTAGGATGCTCTGTAAATAACTTTGGTGTTGCATGTTCTTGTAGTTTTTGCCTATTTTCGCTGTAAGTTAACGGAGTTTCGACTTGTTTCTGGCATTGAGCTATTTGTTGACGTAATTTTGGAACGGCGACTATTTCGGATGTTATGCCAGTAAGTTAGGATGTAGGTGGAATGTATGATGTTGTCGCGATTTATTCGCAAGTGTAACATTAACTGATTTATTTCTAGTTTGCTTCTATTCAATAAAAACATTTTAGACTTGCAGTGTTTTTGCACAGGATACATTGTTTAGTCTTGGATTTGTGCAGTAAATGCGTCACATGAGTTCAGTGTTTAGTTTTAGCCCAGACGTGTTACTGATTGTTGCTACTCCGCATTCTTTTTGAGGGAAATAAGTATTCAACGCATAAGGTAGTTTTCTTCCATGATGCAAAAAGCAAGCAGTTATTCTGAAGAATCTGAACAATGCAACTCCTTTAGTAGTTCAATGAGTTATGTAAATGAACAATTTTTCTTACGATATACAATTTGCAATAATATACTTATATAATGAGGCAAGAACTAAAAGTATTTTCCTTTCTTCAACGGCATGACTTTGTAAAGTTTGATCTGAGCAGATTATTTCCTCCACTGTGGCAATCGCTGAACGACAACCTGCATACAAGAAAACAATAGGATATCTAATAATTGCTTGATACACCAAGGCTCCATAGTAACAGATTACTTGATAGGGAGGAAATGCGACTTAAAATAATGTCATGACATACATTGCTCTAAATAAAAATTTAGGTGCACATTACATGCTTCGATATGCACTTGCATTATGATGCCTGGAACTTTATACAAGTGATCGGAAATGCATTATTTCTACTACAACTTGCATTATGATGCCTGGAACTTTATACAAGTGATCGGAAATGCATTATTTCTACTACAATAGCTCTTCAATCCTTAGCAAAAAATATGTTATTTCGACATACCAATTAAGCAAAGTCTCCTTTATCATCTTTCATGGGCGGAAAAAAGATGACTTTTTACGGGAAAGAAAATATATATGGTGCTGGGAAATTAAATACAAACTAATATTTAATGCACTATAGGTAGAACTAAGATCCACTATCTAGATTGGCGACATAACGTTCTCTTAGTTATTTGAACGATAGATGTAACCCTAACCGATGAGTTTTAAAGAAATATCTGAAAACAATTAACACGGTTCTATGATCAGAGCAACTTGACATGAAATTGGTACCAAATTTCTGTGCAAGACAAATGTAGACATGTACTTAAATACCATGTTAGGTGTTATTTCAGATGTACATATTCGGTTAAACAAAGAATACTAATCTACGGCTACACAAGCC